GAGAGAGAGAGAGAGAGAGAGAGAGAGAGAGAGAGAGAGAGAGAGAGAGGGAGAGAGAGAGAGGGAGAGAGAGGTTGCCAAAGTTTCTGTAACTAGTAATGTTGGGCTTGATATTTAAATGAGAATGGGTGAAGGGTTGTTAGTATAAGTTAAGGTAGTATGGTGGGTTGAGTGGTGGTCCCTTGAAATACATGTCCACATCCTAATCCCTAGAACCTATGAATTTTACTTTACTTGGAAAAACCGTCTTTGTCAATATAATTAACTTACGGATCTTGAGATGAAGACATCATCCTGGATTATCCATGAGCCCTAAATGCGATGATGAGTGTTCTGATAACTCAGAGGCAGAGGGAGATTTGACAGCTAGGAGGGGAGGGGGCCATGCGACCACCGAGACAGAGATTAGAGTGATGTGGCCACAAGTCAAGGAATGCCACCAGAAGCTGGAGGGGGTAAAGACTGAATTGTTCCTTGGAGTCCCTGAAGAGAGCATGACCCTGCTGGATTTTGGATTTCTGGCCTCCAAAACTGTGGGAGAATAAATTTCTGTTGTTTTAAACCACCCAGTTAGTGGTAATGTTTTCTATGGCAGCCCCAGGACACCAATACATGCAGGAATGGCTTCCGCTCTGTGGTGGCCTTTGAGCACCTCCAAAGTAGACCCTATATTGGATTGGGACTGAGCCTAGACTGAGGGGGTTCCATCTGGGGGTCAGCAGGTCAGCCATATGAAATGAACTTCCTCAGGGCCTTGACAAGTAATTAAGAAAATCTTTTTAATGGTTTAGCTGTTCTTTTGGTATCAGCTTTTCTTTGCAAAAGAGCCATAGGAGATGTGGCCGTGCGTCCCCATTTTACAGGTGAGAAAACAGGGGGTACAGGCTGCTTATGTAACTAAGCCCAGACTGTTGACCTGCTGAGGTAAAAAGAGAGCCCTAATTTGAACTCATATGTGGTCTATGAATTCTCCCACCAGGAGACCCAGTCCCAGGATCAGGCCGTTGACCATTTTGCTGCTTTCTATCTTTGGTAGTGAAGGACAGTATTGCTGAAAATCACAAGGGTAGGCAGTTATCATGATGTTGTTATCCCTGCAATTTGAGGTTGCTGTAGAATGAGGATTGAATTTCCCTCATACGCCGAACACTTTGGCCTCCCCTTGGGATTGAAATTGGGGTTGAGCTGCCAGGAGAGTTCTCCTTAAATGGAATAGATAAAGACAACCCAGTGGGTTAGCAGGGATCTGGTCTGTCCTGTGGCTTGTAGACAAATAGGTGAAGAGAAGAGATTTCAATGTGATGTAGGGAAAAACTCTGCCAGGAGAGGTTCTTAATACTGACATGGGCTGTGAAGGCATCGGTGTTATTGTGGGTCTTTCGAAACAAAGGGAGGGGTCACTCTGTATCCTCCTCAGCTCTGCTCTCTGAATTGTGAGTTGGGGGAATTTTCCTGAAGCCTTCTTCTACCCTCCATTTTAGTTCTAGTACCTGAAATGTCTTGTGTAGTAGAGTGGACTGCACAGCCTCTGGATTTGCACAGACTTGGGTTCAAATCCTAATTCTATTACTTACTGACCAAGCAATCTTGAGCAAAAAAGTTAGCCTATAGCTTCCATTTTATGTCTTTACATGGGGTATGTGAGTCTCTTTGGCAGGGCTGTAGTGAAGTCAAGACACACAGACACTTGATAAATCTTTCTTATGGGGATAAAGGGTGATAACTGCTAACATTAAATGGCAACATTGCACATTTCACATGCTTTATGTAGATTATTTAATTCTCACAACCACCCTGGGAGGAAGGTACCACTGTTAGCTCCATTTTGTAGAAACTGGACATTAGGAGGTAAAATCAGGTGACGAGTTTGCACAGCTCATAGCAAGGAGATCCTGGTTTCATGCCTGGCCTGTCTCCAAAGATCAGGCTTCTAATTGCAGTTAAAGTTCCTGCCACAGCAACTGACATTCACTAGGTGTTATTAAATGATGGCAGTGGAGTCAACAAACATATACCAAGGGCACCTCTGTGCTGGGCACTAACTATTTACTCATGAAAACATCTCAGCAAGTAACCGGGACAAATGTGGGACTACTGCACCCATGCGCCGTTAGGTGTGATCAAGGAAGCAGTACCAGCATGAGTAACAGGCAGTGGGGGACTTGACCTTATCCAATCGTGGGAGCTGCTGATGAGTCTGTGGAAGGCTGTGGCCTCTGGGTCTGATGATGTTTCCGAAGTTGCTTTAGATCAGCAGAGCCAGAAGTCCAGAAGAAAAGCTGGATGTGATGTAGGAGGCCAAACTGGAACCTTCAAGGACAAATGGAACCCCTATTTTTCTCTTTCCACTTCCAACCTTGACTATGAAACATCAAGTTGGCACCCTGTGCTACAGACCTGCACATACGCTTTGCCCAGGACCCAGAGTAGTTGAAGGGGAAGAGCTGGCAGGAAGTGGAGGAGCTGTGGGCCCAAATCAGCAGGGAAAGCCAGCAGATGGGTGACAATGTGCTGCATGTGGAAGCAGCCCCCCGAGCCATGCCCTGACCTTCACAGCATGAAAGATGCTTCTTTGCTTTTACCTTCCAAAGCTCCACAAGTCTCTGCTCTGTTGTGGACAAGCCTAAGCTGGAACCACACGGGAAGGGAATTCTGGGAAATAGAATTCTAGCTTGGTTGAGTTGACCCAACACCAAACCAACACACTGATGTTCCAATCTCTGGTCTCTGAGACGGGATGGTCCTGAGTGGCCTATATAGAGATAAAGAGGGTAATCTCTTGGAAGGTCACATTGAAGCAGGGCCTTTTGATTCACCTCTTCCTACTCTGATTTGCCATAAGGCTTGCCCATCACTTTTATCTGGTCTGAAATGCCCACCCTTATGGATGGATATACACAATCCTATGAGTTGGAAATTAAAGAATGAAACATTCCCAGAAGGTCACTGTAAAAACGGACCCCTTATCTTGGTCTGCTAACTGGCTACCATCAGCACAGAATGGCTGACACTAACCAGGCACCTGGGGATACAATGAGGAAGCTTGAGCATTTGTAAGGGACACTGGAGAGGTAATTTTTGCAGGTGAGTGCTGGTATTTAGTGCTGAGAGGCTGTCAGGGTGGGGAGAGGGAGAGGAAGGGAAGGGGCACGTTGGAGCTTTGATGGGAGAGTTATTCCAGTGTGATACATTAGAGGTGCTGCTCCTGGCTAGGGAGCGGGGTGAGGGCTCTTTCCTGAAGGTATGGGTCCCTAGGGAAGAGAAGACCCTGCCTGGCAACCTGGCTTTCGAAGCCCTGGGTCAGATAGGAAAACAGAAAAAATGTACCTGCAATTCCACTTCCCAAAGAAAGCTATTGTCAACATTTTGGTGTGAGCCCTTTGTAGTCTACTTCCCAGTTCAAATATATACCTGTCTTTACAAGAAAAATGAAATCATAGCATATACAATATTTTATATAAAAGATCCTGTTTTTATTTTAGTGTAAATAGTCTTTTTTCCATGTCGCTAACATTAACCCTTAATATTGTTCACATCTATGTAAAGATTTCATCCTAGTTTATCTGTGAAGCATAGACTCTGAAGACAGACTGCTGGGGTTCGTATCCCAGGTATTCCCTAGTTGTCCTGAGGCGCAAACAACTTTTTAGATGTGGATGCTCTCTCAATGTTATTATGTAGTTGACCTTTTTTTGTTGGATATTTAGATTGTTTCCAAGCTTTTCACTCTTACAAATACACTGTAATTAACAAATTCAGTGCACTCTTAATTGCTTCCAAAGGAAATATTTGTGGTCAATTAAGGAATCTTTTCCAGAGTGAATCATGCGCTCAACATACATCAAGTGTCCATATGCACAAAGCATTATGCTATGCACAAAGAAAAATGAACACAGTTCTCTTAAGACATTGAAAATGCAGTGGGGGGCAGGGAGGAGGCAGAGAAAAGCACATTCATATACAAATATAATACTATACAGAAATACAACACTATGTAGATAAGAGTTATAGACAAATGAAGAACTATGGGAAAGGAGAGAAGAAAGAGTACCTTCAGCCAGAGAATTATGTTATGCAATAAAAGAGAAAGAAAAACTTCCTCCTCTGCTCCCACCACCTCCCAAATACCCAAATCAGAATTCAGAATGGTTTCCCTCTATCATGTTGAGAATTTGTTACCTCAACAGAGAACACCAAGGGCTGTGTTCCAAAGTTAGAAGCCGAGATATGGGCTTACATTGCGAGGCCAAATATTTAGGAAATACCTTTTTCTGGAAAGGAAAGAACACATTTCACAGCTGAAAAGAGAAGTGAAAAATGAAACTAAAGAAGCATGAAGGTAATATTTACTTGCTATATTTATACAGTGCCTACCTTTAGAAAAGCCTGGCTACAAATCCAGCCTGTGCCCCCCTAACACACATACACTCTGTTCTCAGTTATCTGGCTTTTTGTGAATTCTCTGCAGCAGATTTTACAATCATTTTACTATCATTGTAAACTGTACACTTCCTTCCTCCAACCCAGCTCAGCCTGTCATCCCCTCCAAGACTGAATCTGAGTTTGGAGGCAGCCACTCCTGGCCTAAGTCCAGGCTCCACAGTTTACCAGCTGGGTGACCCTGGACATGTAACTTAAGTCTCTAAGTCTCAGTTTCCACATCTGTAAAATGGAGATAATAACAACATCATCTACCATGTAGGATTGAAATGAGGATTATATATGTTTGTAAAGCACTTATCATAGCACAGAGCACTCAATAGTGTTAGCTATTATTATTCCTGTTCTACAGCATAGAAGTGGTGTGCGAAAGAGAGAGAGAGAGGGGGGGGGCATCGTTCCTGCAAGGAGGCCAGTGTGGCTTGGTAAGGAGGGCAGCAGGAGAGGACAACAGACGTTGTACAGGCTGTTCGCGTGGGTCCGTGCAGGCTGTTCTAAGGACCTTGGCTTTTTCTAAGTGACATGGTGTGCCAATGGCAGGCTCTGAGCAGAGAAGTGCTGTGATATGACATTTTAAATGGATTACTCTGTCAATTGAGAATAAACCACAGGAGGGGCGAGGGGAGACCAGGGAGAACAGCCTCTGTACAAACCCAGGTGAAGGAAGATGTTGGCTCAGACCTGGAGGCAGCAGGGGAGGAACTGAGAAGTGGCTTTATCTGAAGGTAGAACCAAGGAGATTTTCTGAAGGATTAGATGTAGGGGATGAGAGAAAGGAGTCTGGAATGATTCCAGGTTTGGGGCCCCATCAAACGCAATAGGGAAGGCTGTGTGAGGAGCAGCTTTGTACAGAAAAAAGGAATCCATTGTTTGGATATGTTAGATTTGAGAGGTCTATTGATCACCTAAGTGGAGACTGAGGCTGGCTGTGTAGCCTGGCATTCAGGAAGAGAGGTCTGGGCTGGAGATACAAATTGGAAACAGCTGCTTAAATCCATAGAGATGGATAGGATCAGCCAGGGAACGAGTGGAGATGGGAGGTGAGGTCTGAGAACACGAAGGTGGAGGGAGTTGTGGGCTCCCCTGCCAGGGCTCAGGAAGCCCACTCTAGAGGAGCCCGGGCCTGCAGGGGGTGCGGTGTACTTGCTGTGGCTGCAATGAGTTGGAGAGAAATGTTTGCTTCTTCTGGAAGGAGAGGCGCTCAATAGATTCCTGCCAGAGTGGCAACAATAATTAAGAGAAGTAGGTAAGGATATCCTAGTAGAACACGTGCTCGGCTGCCTCCAAGGAATTAGAAAACCTGGATCTATTAATCTGTTCAGACATCTGGGCACCACTGCTTTGCCTGCGAGGCTCCGCCCTCCGGCCCTTTCTCTCCCCTTCCCTCTTCCCATCTTCGCCTCTGTATGTCACTTCTATAACCGCTTTGATTATAATTGATCAGACAGAATCACGGAATCACGGCTCATTTTGCTGTTTTGTTCAGTGGCCCGGTCTGCAGAGACTCGGCTAGTTGGGCAGACTGTAGCCCTCCCCCCCGTTGGAATTCCGCTCACAGTGGCCTTCCCGTCGTGGACGGCAGCGCAGGGAAGCGGGGGTGCTGCCGAGGATGACGCGGGCGGGGGTCTGGAGGCGGCGGGGCACGCGAGGGGTGTCGGTGCGGCGCCCACGCAGCCCGCCAGAGCCCACGGTTGGCCCACGCCCCGCCCCCCGGGGGGCGCCGCGCGTAGTCCCCCGTCGCCGCCCTCACCCAGCCCGCGCCTCGCCTGCGCCCCTTGACGTCATGTGGGCAGCAGGGCTGGCTCCGCGGCGCAGCCGAGGGCCAAGAGGGTCCTCACAGGGGACTCGGTCTGTGCTGTGCGCCCTGCGTCGTGCGCCCGGTCCCTGCGCGCCGCCGCCGCCGCGCCACATCTGGAAGCGTTCAGCGCGTCTGCCTCCAGCGCGCCGGGCGGGCGGGGAGGGCGCGGGCGCGGGCGCGGCGGCGGGCTGGGCTGGAGGCGGTGTGCGCGGCGCTCTCGCGCGCCCCGTGTCTCCCTCTCACTGCCTCTGCAGAAACAGCTCCTGCCAGAACGGCGCTCGGCGCGGCGCGGCCCGAAGCGGCGGCCCCTCTTCCTGCCTCCGCGCCTCAGGAGTTGCTGGAGCTTCTTGACAGAGAAGAGCCGAGCCGGGGCCTCGGGAGGACTGTCCAGGAGAGGCGGAGACGGTTCAGCCCTTGCTGGCCCAGGCGGCCCCTCTCTCCCGGTCTTGGGTCCATCGCTCCCCTCGCCCCTCCTTTCCGCCTCTTCTCTCGCTGCCTCTCTCGGTTTATTTTTTCAAACGGTGTAGCTGCCAGAGGTGCGGTGCTAAATTCTTGGAAGGGGCCCGGATGTACTGAGGATGCATTACAATTTCACTCAAGGAGGCAGTAGTGGAAAGGATCAGTTTTTGGTGTTTGATGCAATAATGGGAATCAGGTAATTATCAGAAGGGAAGAAGAAATACCGCAGATCCACGGCTTCCTTGAATTTTGCACGAAATCCGCCGACCTCGGAGGGATTAATCCAGACCCGCTGGGGGGTGTTTTGACATTTCTTCCTCTTTGTGGCTTCTCCTTTTAAAACAATTTTTGGTTAATGGTCAATGAAAACACGAGGATGTACATCCCAGAGGAAAACCACCAAGGTAAGGCTGGCCCCACCGCCCGGCCAGGGCTCCAGCGCGGGCTCCCGCCCTCCGCGCCCCGGCTCGCCCCGCAGCCCGGGGCACGTCCCTGTGGAGTTTCCCGGGGCCGCCTCCGCCTTGTCCGAACGGCGGGACCGGGGCCCGAACCCCGCAAGAAGGAGCGGAAAATTCCCGCCCCTCCCCCTCCCGTGCCGGCTTCTCCGGCGCATGTGTTTCCTATGAAATTCCAGGCGAGGGGGAAAAGTTCCCCAAGTGTCTGCTTCTGCCTCGCTTTCTCATTTTTGTCTGGAAAGCCCAACTGCCTTGCCCGCCGCGCGTGGGGGAGGGGGTGCCGGCGTCGCCGAGCCCCGCTGTCCCCGAGCCCCCAGCCGGGGTCCCTCGTCTAGCTTGGGGCGCGGCTGGGAGCGCGCGCGCGCACCCCGCTCCAGGCCGGCCCAGCGCCCGGGCCGCCGCCGGGCGTCCCACTCGTTTCCAGGTGCCCTGCTCTGGGCAGCGCGCTCCGGGGGGTGGCTGGGGGCCGAGCACGCAGATGCAAGGCCCGGCGCCTCTCTCCCCTCTCGTCTCTCCAGTTTCTTTCCCTCTCCCAGGCTCACCTACACCCACCCACCACTCCACTGCCATTGACCCCGAGGGTGTCCACGCCCCGTGTATTCTTATTCGCGCCCACATGTGGGCTAGCGCCTGAGGATGTAAGCGTTTAGAATTCGGGCGGTGTGTGGGCTTTGCTTTTTCATGTGTTAAGGAAATAATAAAAGGGTGTGCCGAGCTCACGCGGCTCCACACTATTGCCCAGTGTTTTTCAAGCATCTCCATCCTTGGCATCTAGTGTCACCAACTCCCCCCTGTGAGGGGGAAAGGCTTTCAGGTAACTCTGCACTTCCTGGAAACTTTCTCTCCCCCCCCCACCCCTTATTAACAAGTTATTGTTTTGGTGCGTTGCTCAGTAATTAAGATCTTGATGGAGTGTAGAGGGGTGGTCTTGCTGGAGAGTGTGGCAGCCTCTAGCTCCATCTGTGTGTGTTCTCCATGGCTTTCTCTGTCTGTTTGGGTGTAGTCGCTCCGTTTGCTCACCCAGTTTCTCAGGCCTCCCTATTTACACTCTTCCTTTCAATCTCTTCTGAATACTTGTCGCTGTTGGTCCTGTTACTGGGGTACTTCAAGCGATCCTCTGAGGACCAGCCTGGTGGAGGGGTTGTATCCATGTTTCTTTTTTCCAGCCTCCTCCCTTCTTTTGCCCTTATCTCCACAATTTGGGGACAGTGCCCCTATCCTTCAGAGCCAGAGGCTGCTAGGCATCCTACCTTCCTGAAACTGATTTCGGGGCAAATTGTCCCTCTGCTTTCCAGCTTGGGTGGCAGTGTGGGGATTTTGGCTTCTTTTGGTAGAAAGAATTTTGTCAAGGGTCATGGGTTCTAGGGTGAGTCAGGGCTTTGGGGTCACAAGCGCAGCGTCTATCCCTGGATTTCTGCACCCCAATGCCCCATCTCTCACCTGTTCCCTTGTCCCCTTCCTAGCTGATGGAGTAGTGAATGGATTAGGAGGGAGGGAATGAGAGACACAAAGGAAAGGTTGATACTTGTGAAGAGTGGGGATGGATTTCTCCCCTCCAGGTTCTCAGCTCAGGCTAAGCAGCCTTGAAGAAGAGAGCTCAGTAGTGTTGTCCTTACTATACTAACAATGGCAGGATACTGTGGGGATAATTATTATGCACAGAATAATCTTAAATAGTTTACAGGGTCTCCTCTTAGTGCAGGATAACCCCCTTCTTAGCCCTTTTCCTTCCTTTCTGTTGCCTCTGTGTCCCCCAGCAGCCCCCTCCCCACACGCAAATGCAGGGAGCAGACATTAAAAGTAGGAGCCTACCCTGGAGAGGTTTGTGAGGAAGATGGAGGGAAAGGCCACGAGTGAGCAGAGCTGGGAGCCCTGCCTTCCCAGCAACATGCCAACAAACACTATGGCAACCTGAATTCCAGCTCTCTCCCCTGAAGCTGCAGTGATTATATAATTCACAGGAGCAGTTTTGCCTCCATTCCTGAATGCGGTTCTCAGGTGAAAGAGCACCAGGATCCCTGTCTCCCCTCCATTCCCCATCCCCTCTTCTTTGCTCTTTGGCATTGCCCAGGGTTTTTTTGAGGGGGAGGAGAGGAAGAGGGTGATGAAGGTGGGGATTGGCAGACCTGGAAGAGCATGAATATTTATGAGGAAGGGTGTGCTGTGGCTTCATAACCAAAGGGGCAAGGAAACATAATTGGGGGTTAAAGTTTCAGGAGAGAGGAGAAGCCAGATGATTATCTTAGATCAGTGATGGTGACGAACCAGAGTGGAGAATCGAAAAAGTTGCCAGTGGTGGGGCTTTACATTCTTCTCTTCCAGACAGACTCAAAGGCACTGAATGCAACAGCCCTTCTCCCCCAGCTTTTCAGCAGTGTGTGTGTGTGTGTGTGTGTGTGTGTGTGTGTGTGTAGGGGTGTGTGTGTAGGGTCTGGGTCTGGGGCCACTGGTCAGCGCATTGGAACAGCTTAGAGTTTCCCTGAAGGGTCTGGCTTTTGACCCTGGGTTTCAGGCTGGGATGGCTCATGTGAGCCTTGCCTCACCTCTAGTGCCCTATCTGCTCTGGTCCCACGCCAGCCTCCCACTTTCTGGGCTGATTTTCCATTGCAGGCTCCAGCTAGCAAATGAGTTTCTTAATAGTCAACCATTTAACAAATAAAACATCAGTATGTCCCTTACTCTGTTGGAGACAAGGCAAAGGGGAAAAATGTGTTCTGGGAGTGGAACACCATACTTTCCTTTTAACTACTTAGCAATACAGTAGAATAGTAATCATTATAATAAAGTAATAAGAATAATGATCATAGTTAACTCTATTTAGAAAGGAGACATTGTCAAAGGACAATGTTGCTTGTGCAGATTAAAGAAAATGTGACATTAGCTTCTCTTTCTCTGGACTCTGCATGGAGGAAACTGCAGAAAAGGGGATACTGAGGTTCGAAATATTGTTCCTAGTATTGCTCACTTTGCAGTGTATCAGAATACTATGTAATAGACTATATTACAAGAATCAATTATTCACCATTTCCATAGAGCACATGCTAACAGTGTTCTAGTGTGTGCCTGTATGTACACACACACTCACACTAAGGAAAATCTATTTTAAATAGATCACACAAGAGCCTAATAATGCACTTTGGGGTCCCAGTGTGTTGCAGAGAAGAATATTGAAAATGTAGTTCCCTAAGACTGTTTGGACATCTCTAGTTCATCTTAAGTGGAGAATTGTTTTCTGAAGGTGGATGCTACAGGTAAAATACTCTGCAACTGAAATGGTGAGCCATTAGCCCCTGGAGTTCTCTCTCAGTCTTGGTGATGACTTAGGACTCTTCCTTCAGTTTTCTCTTTGACTTAAAACTGCCTGAGGTCGGTTTTTCTGTGATAAGACCTAGGCTGAAGGAGTCCAGGGAGCATACTGAAGGGGATTTCGAAGCCCTGCTGATCTTTTTATCCCCACTTCCCATACAGGCCCCCAGCTCATTCTAGGCCCTTAATACATAACTATGAATGCATGCCTGCATGAATCAATGAATGCAGACCTGTGGTTTCTGCCTCTCACAGTAGGTGGCGCTCCAGGGCTTAGGAGTCAGGAAAGGGGCACTACTGTCGGGTTTGGTGAGGAAAGATGTCGGAGGGTTTGGAGAGAATTTCCTGTCAGCTGTGCCTCTATAATCATGTTTACGCCTGTCCATGTGCAGAGAACCCCAAAGACCAATGTGTGTACCCATGCCACTGCACACACCAGAAACCCCCCCCCACGCAGTATGACTGAGTCCCTCAGTGACCTTGCCACCCTCTGGTAATGAAAACCCACTTTGGTTTTCTCCTACTCTGTTGTACACTCTGACCTCAGACTTCTGTTTACCTCGGATAGCATCCCAGAGCTTTGCGGGAGCCTTTTGGGTGATTAGCTGAACTTGTTATAGGTGTATGTTAATTTTCTCCTTGATTTACCATGGTTTAATAACCAGAGGGACCCAGGGTTCCCAAGCCCATTGGAACATGAGGCGACCTAAAATTTGGAATCTGGAAACCTTAACCTATAGGGTTACAATGCTTGTCAGCTCAAAGACAAGAAGACATTTTCCTAACTTTATTAGGGAAAGGAAACAAAAACAACTGGATACACTTCACAGCTGATTTCTGTTTATGAGTCTGGCTGGTTTCCTGCTGGGTAATGGCAGAAAAGCTCCCGAAACCTAGGTTAGGAGGTAACTAAGATTTGTTCTAATTTTCAGTGATGTTTTCCAACTCCTGGTGTTTTCTTTTGTATCCCTTTCTTCGCTTGGCTTTCTTAGTTGTTGTGACAAGTTCTGTGAGGTCTGAGAAACCCTTGCCACCATGTTAAGAAGGGGTGAGGGAGTGGCTTCCAGCACTTTCTTCCTTTTATAGTCATTCTTCCTGCCTGGGGTTGCGGCTGTTTGCTATAGGGTAGTTACAGGTCAGCCAGTGTCCTCCCAGCTATTCCTTCAGGGACTCTGAAATCAGTGCCCAACATTCAAAATCAGGGGATGATGTTAGTTTCTCATGTGGGCTAATGAAAGCTAATAGGTAGTTTGGCAAACACCTGGAGACTTAAGAACAAGAATAATTAGCAAAATAATCACACTGATTTCGCCTGTTTCTGGAGTCCGCACTGTTGCCTGTTAATGACAGATACTGTGGAGGAGAGCAGAAGAATGATTAGAAAGAAAAAAAAGGCATGGAGAATTGTTTTGCAAAGTATCAGGTGCTAAATATTTAGTGACATGAGTGCTAAACATTCTGGTAATGAAACAACACTCCAAGCCATGACTGTCATTATTAAAATAATTTAGTAAACACCTGTTTACTGGTACCTGAAGGTTAGCTGCTGTATAAAAAAAGTGACAGGATCCCTCTGGGAAAATGGAATGCCTTTCCCTGCTGTTTGAAAGCCAGGTGCGTAGACTTTAACCTAACCCATCACA